ATGAAGTCGTAGGGATAAAAAATTTAATTATCGCATTAATCCTGTAATCACGTTCTAAATTTTATTTTTTTTTTTTTCTTAGTTTTTCACGGCTAGCTTTTTTTTTTTTTAATAAAAAACTTAAGCGTGTGTCTGCAAAGATCGGGTGTTAGAAGTATAGATCTGAGAATGTACAGGTATGTGGTACGCATTTATAAAAGTGTAATTTTATTTATTTATTTATTTAAAATATGTTCTAAAGAACCTTTTAAATGTTTAATAAATTCTAATTTTTCTTCCGTGCTTCCTTCATCCTCTACTCTCCAATATGTATCACGGGTTCTTTCTATTAGTTCGTTCACGACTGAGCATCGATTCTCTAAGGCTTTTTCAGCCTCCATTCTTTTAGGTATTTCAATTCTCACAATTTTACAACGTTCATATATTTCAAAACCATTCTCCATGAACATTTGTTGAAATTGCACCCACACATTCGACGTTAATAGTTTATTACCATACATATGTTTGTGAAACATATGTAGCAGGGAAGTAAGTACCGGCGAAAAAACAAGCAAAGACAATTAGGCGAAGTCAGCTCAGGTATTTCTTTACCCTTTTCAATTCTTTTTTCAATAGCAGAGACTTCGGTAACAATTAACTGCTGGATAGGATAGGGGAACTTATGAATTTCACTAAGAGTTTCATTATCAACTCCAACAACAGAAATCTGTTTAATTCGAAATTCAAAGGCTGTATTTTCCAAGTCTAAGCGTCTTTTGGCATCCAGGGCAATAACTTTATGACATGCGCCTAATAGAAGTAAAGTAGTTATATAATAAGAAAATGTATTTTATTTTTAAAAAAATTATTTTTTTATATGAAAAAAAAAAAATTTACATAACGAAAATTTTTTTTACATAAAAATTATTAAATAAAATTAAAAAATAAAAATTTAAGCCCCAAATTTCTTGTATTATACCTATAATATCATGTTTTGATGATGTTATCCATTTTAATTCACTATGATAGGACTCTAGTGGATTCATTGTAATTATTTGTAATAAAAGAGGTGAATATTGTCGGGCCCAAAGGGTTCATTGATGCAAATTTTTTAAGTAATTTCGTGTAATATAGTTTTTTATTCCAGGGATTTGACATACACGAATTGCCTGTTTAATGAGCTTTTCACAACTGACTTTTGTAGTTTTATGCATTGCTTGAATCATTAAGCTTCGGGCTTTGGTTTCGTATATCTTGCTCATCCATACCCACATTACAAGAACTATACAAAAAATTACGGCACACTCTTGCTCACCACTACGAAGACCAGGAAATGCTTTTCCAATACTATTAGTCTCAACATGGCTCTGGTCAGCGAGAATATATCGTGGATTCTAGTGATGTCCAATTCGTCTAATAATTTTTAGGGCATCTGCGACTGTGTCGCTATCTTCTTTACTGACAAAAAAGTGGGCACCAACGTCCCAGCACCCGTACGTATCTCGTACGTATAAAGTAAATAGACGACAGTCATATTTGTTCATCTTGTATGTCGAATCGATCAGGGATAATCACCTGTGTCGTTCGAGCTTTACAAGTTGGAGTGGGTGCGCAAAAACTATACCGTAGGTAGATCGACTCGTATTGTAATATTGTTCAACATTATACCCTTTAAAATAAATAAAATAAAATTAGAAAATAAACGAATAAAACGTATGACTTGTGCTGGAAAAAAGAACGAAAAAAACAAAATTGACAAAAAAATCTCGCAAACTTGTTCGTGAGATTTTTTGTCAATTTCGTTCTTTTCGTCCCTTTTTCTAGCACAAGCCCGTATACAGAAATAAAATAAAAGATCCCAACCTTCATTTTTTAAAAAATGAATACATTCTGCAATGTCAGAATTTATATTCGTATTACCCCCAAAGCTATCATTTGTTTGCACTTCATTAACTTTTTGCTTAATATTCGAAACCTCCTTTCGTTTTAACTCTTTAACGCTTGCACCCAAATTCAGCTTCCTGGTTGTATAATCTTTAATCGTGCTTACAATGGTAGGTGGTGGGTAGTTTTTAACTGCTTCTTCTTTCACTAATTTTCGAACTGCATTTGAACGCTTTAACACTTCACTTTCCTCAAGTGTGTATGTATAGTTAAGGCTATTGTTATATCGTTCAATTTGCACTTTTTGTGCACTAACAAAACGTAATACCTGAATTTTTGCAGAGCACAAGTTGGGAGGATGGGTTTTTGTCTTCCTACACTTTTCAAGAGAGATTTCTTCTTTTTGACTACTTGAATGGTTATGTTTCATAAGTCAGCATGCGAAAGCTTTCTATGAATTACCGTTTTTATGATTTTTATAGCTAAATCTGGTCCAAATATTTGAAACAAGTGGCCACCATTCATGATCAAAATCATGTATCGAAACTTCAAATAGTTCACCGACATTGAAGAGAAGTGCATGTCTTTCATTAGGAGTTAAAGATTGAGATGTATAAAATTTAAGCGCGACTTCTTCTCTATTTTCTTTAAGTATATCTTCAAACACGGCTTCTTCGTTTTCCTTATTTTCTTCAATTATAGTCTCTTCCTTTTCTACAAATACACCTTCTTCGTTTTCCACAATACTCATGTAAAAAAAATATATGCTGATGATTAAAAAAAAAAAAATCGCATAGATATAAAGATAAAAAAAAAGAATCTATATATAAAAAAAAAAAAATCTTAAAAAAAAAAAAAATAAAATTTAGAACGTGATTACAGGATTAATGCGATAATTAAATTTTTTATCCCTACGACTTCAT